ATTATTTTCATGAGAGTTTACCTTCATGCATCCTGTTCTTTTTTCAAAAAAATGGTGTAGGAAATAGATTTAAATATATGAAATTTGAAGCAATAAAAATCAATTTGTGCATCCATGATTTATCCAGTAATGAATTTTGCTAGACTAAATAAGTTGAGAATTGTGTTTCCAAGAAATTCTTCAGGCGAGATAGCTTGATGGCATAAACAGAAGAATAAGAGAAATAACTTCAAAAGGAGCAAAAAGAATGACAGAAGAAAAGGTTTAATGTGTTGGTTAATTGCAAGAATTCTTTCTGAATTCGAAACAACAAACTCCATAGCTTCAAGATTCTACTTTTCTAGTCCTAAATGATGTTGCAGTAGCTAGCATGATTAATTATTGTGTTTTAATGTCTTTCGTATGATTTGTAGGTATGAGTCTAAATTTATTCAGAATGTTGTCACAGAGGTTGGGAATAGATTGAACCGCACCATACTAAATGTTGACCCCTATTTAGTTGGAATAGATTTGCGTGTAAGACCCATCAACTTGTGGTTACAAGATGGATCAAATGATGTTGGCATAGCAACAATCTATGGGATCGGCGGCATTGGAAAGACAACCATAGCGAAGATAGTTTATAATCAAAACTTCCACAATTTTGAGGGAATTAGCTTTCTGGCAAATACTAGGGAAATTTCAGAACAACCTAATGGTTTGGTTTGTTTGCAGAGGCAACTTCTTTCAGATTTGATAAAGAGAAAAGCAAATAAATTTTACAGTATAGACGAAGGGATTATTATGATAAAAAACGCTATTTGTTGCAAAAGAGTTCTTCTTATTCTGGATGATGTCGATCAATTAGACCAAGTTAGTGCATTAATGGGAAAGCGACAGTGGCTTTACCCAGGAAGTAAAATTATCATAACAACTAGGCACGAACGTTTGCTAAGGGCTCATGAGGTCAGTGTAATGTTCAAAGTCCAGCAATTGAATGAGAATGAATCACTTCAGCTCTTCAGTTGGCATGCTTTTGGCCAAAATCAACCTTTTCATGGTTATGAGATGTACTCTGAGAATGTGGTGCATCATTGTGGTGGGATTCCATTAGCTCTTCAAGTTTTGGGTTCTTCTTTATATGACCAACCTGTGGAATTATGGAAAAGAGCATTGCAAGAACCAGAAGCAATTGATGATGGTAAAATTCAAAAGATTCTCAGAATAAGCTATGACTCTCTACAAGATGATCGTGACAAAAATTTATTCCTTGACATAGCTTGTTTCTTCATTGGAAAGGATAAGGATTATGTAGATAGAATAGTTGAAGGCTGTGACTTCTACAGGATATTTGGAATTCAGAAACTCATTGATAGATGTCTAATAACAATTGACAAAGACAACAGATTGATGATGCATCAATCACTTAGAGACATGGGAAGGGAAATTGTTCGCCAAGAGTCACCAGAGGATCTTGGAAAACGCAGTAGACTGTGGCGTCACAAAGATTCATTCAGTGTTTTGAGAAAAAATACTGTGAGAAACCTAATTTTCATGTTTATTTTTTGTACACAATTTGGATGCTTACTCTTTGGCTTATCCTTTTAATTTTATGCTTGGATTGTGGTTGTTGTTTCCAACTGAGCAGGGTACACGTGCTGTTAAGAGCCTCATACTCGACCAACAACAGATAAACACAGCATTGGCAAATAACACAGACCTGCAAACTGTGGCATTTGTGAAAATGAGCAATTTAAAACTGCTTGATCTCAGTAGTGTGAAGCTTAAGGGAAGCTATGCAGATTTTCCTAAAAGTTTAGTGTGGTTGCGCTGGCAAGGATTCCCTTTGAGTTTTATACCAGATAATTTTTCCCTAGAAGATCTGATTATTCTTGACATGCACAGGAGTAGTCTAAAATGTGTTTTCAAGAGAACCCAGGTATGACACTAATTCTTTCTCCCTTGGAACAATTCTGTGTTTAGACCAACTAAAGACATCTATTTCCAAAACAGGTTCTTGCAAATTTGAAAATTCTGGATCTCAGTTATTCACATGGTCTAGTCAATACTTCTGACTTATCAGGACTGCTTGGTCTTGAAATGCTGATTCTTAAACATTGCATAAATTTGATTGAGGTTCATGAATCTATTGGAAATCTTGGAAGGCTTGTTCTCTTAAATCTGAAAGGCTGCAAAAATCTCATAAAGCTTCCTAGGAGAATTGGTTTGTTGAAATCACTAGACAAACTTATTTTGTCTGGTTGCTCCAAACTTGGTGAGCTACCTGAGGAGCTGAGAACATTGCAATGCTTAAGGGTGCTTCGCGCTGATGAAACTGCCATAAATCGGCTACAGTCATGGCAATTAAATTGTTGGTCTTGGCTATTTCCAAGAAGAAGTCTGCAATCCACTAGTTTTTCGTTCACTTTTCTACCATGTTCTTTGGTAAAGTTAAGTCTTGCTGACTGCAATATAACAAATGATGTTATTCCTGATGATCTTAGCAGCCTGCCTTCCTTGGAGTACTTAAACCTGAGTAAAAACCCAATTCACACCCTACCAGAAAGCATGAAAAACCTCTCTATGCTGCAGGACCTTCTCTTAAACCACTGCAGAAGTCTTCGATCCATTCCCGAGCTTCCAACAAGCTTGAAGAAGTTGAGGGTAGAAAAATGTATAAGGTTGGAGAGAATTGCAAATCTGCCAAATTTGTTGAGATCCTTGAGACTAAACCTTATTGGTTGTAAAAGGCTAGTTCAGGTTCAAGGCTTGTTCAACTTAGAATTGATGAGAGATTTTAATGTTGAAATGATCGATAATCTGCACCTTTTCAATACGGAATGTTTAGGAAGTATTGAAGTGGAAATGATCAATTCTATCACAAAGACATCAAGGATAACTCCTCTCCAGGTCCTTTCTCAATCTTTCTGGCTTCACATTTATGAGTTTTCTTTAATAATTTTGCTTTGCTTTTCTTTCCTTATTCATTTTGTAAGTTATGATTCCAATGGCACAGATATTGCGAGAACACGGCATATTTAGCATTTTTCTTCCAGGGATTGAGGTTCCGAGCTGGTACAGCCATCGAAAGCAGAACAATTCAATATCCTTTGATGTGCCTCCACTTCTAAGTAGCAAGATCCGTGGATTAAATTTATGTGTTGTATATGAATTATGCGATACTGATAAACAATATGCTACTCTATATCCACCTGATGCTGAAATCAGCAACAAAACCAAAGTTTTAAAATGGAGCTATACTCCAATAGTCTACGGAGTACCACGAATTGGTGAAGATATGTTATGGTTAAGCCATTGGAGGTTTGGTACTGATCAATTGGAAGGTGGGGATCAAGTGAATGTTTCAGCATCTGTGACACCTGCTTTTCGAGTAAAGAAGTGTGGAGTACATCTTGTCTATGAACAAGAAGAGAGCTTTACTCTGTTAAACAATGAAGAGATAGTCAAAAGTAGCACCATTGGATTCCAAACTCTTGTCAAGAAACATGTTTTGGAATATCCAGTATCACCTGTATTTCATATCTGATATCACAATTATATATTGAACTCAAATCTGGTAGGTTACGTATTACTAATTTACTACATATCATCTTGGCATCGTGAGAAAATTTTTACCTGAGGATGCAGTAATTGCCATTTTCATTCCATGTTTGATTTTTGCTCGCAATCATTAAATTATGAACTCTCCTTGATCCCATATCTATGTATAACCTCTATATGCTTGCTAAATCTGTTTTGACAATGAAATTTTTTCTGCCATTACAAAAAAAGATCACTTTAAAAAATGACAAAACATGGATTATATATCGACTTGGCCTATTCATCACAGTTTTTTAACCGAAGAAGATATATATAAACATTGAATTTGAATCAGATTTTTACCTGCCTCCGCCTCCATAGAGGGAAAAATCCCTCCGTACCTGCCTGAACGGTAACAAAACATAATTTGATAATGAGATATGTTTTCGTTATGGCTTTAATAAATTACACCATTCGATAGGAGTGAAAGAGTAACTTTTGCAATTTCTGTTCTATGAATCTTATTTTCAAAACTGATTATTATTTAGGGTAAAGAAAATAGTCTAAAGACATCATTCACGTGCTGTCAAACTTATCGAATGGAATCCTAAACAGAAGGGTGACATTTCAAACAAAATAAAATATCGGGGACTGCGTATTTTCATAAACGATAATATCTAGGCTTGAATCCTACCGTTCACAAACTTTCTTTTTTTCTCCGGGGATGCATCTATTTGGAAAAAAATTCTTACTGTAATCCATCTTTCGTCAATTTCTCCCTTAACAAGCTCCAATGTTGTCATGTGATCTTTTCGGATCTATCATATGTTTCAATCTGGTTTTGATGTTTTAATATGTTGTGACATTCAGTGTTAAGCAAACCGGTTTTTAAACAAATTTTTTTATTAATGTATAAAATTTGAATTTTGAATTCATACTTATTAAAGGGGGTTAAATTTTGTTGCTCCCAGTTCAGAGATGATTAATTATATCTCCAGCATGGGGATGAGAATATATTGTGGCATAGGAGCTTATTTTTGTTTCAACGAAAAAAATATATTGTTTCAACGGTCATTTATTTGGGCTAGGTTTTCATGGATTCTCGAGTTACGTGGGTTTTTTTTTTTATCCTTTTGAAGTAATTGATTTGTGATTAGGTAGGCGTTGCCTTTGTTTTTAGATTACCATCAAAACCTAGCTCAAACAGGTGATTACGTAGGTGTTGGGCTTTGTTTTCCTGAAGTAATTGATTTGTGATATTATTTGACTTGTTAAGGATGATAATATTTACTTGACAAGGTAGTCATAATTAAGAACCTGCTCTAATTCTTGTTGATAGTACAACAATACCGTTGTTGCTTCTTTCTTGGGAGAAAAGAAAGGTGTTAATTTTAATGAGATTTAAGCATAAAAGAATAATTCATGAACAAAATAATTTCAAATTGGAGATTATATAAAAGAAGTCTATCCACAGCAAAGAATTACTGTGGAGGGTGATAACTGGGAGCAATTTCTTGTAATCCTGTTCTTGAAACAGTGTCTAACGAAATGTGGAGAGGATCCCCTCCAGATTCCTCAAGCAGGACTAAGAGGTTTCCTGAAGTGTTAAGAAAAGCCCGAGGAACATGGTACCTAACATTAAGAAAAAAAGAGAGTTCTAAATCAGCACAGGTTTGAAAATTGTTGATTCATGACAACCTAACCTGGTGCATGTGTATGCATGTATAAGAGTTAGATTTAATGTTTACAGTTCATCCCAAAAAAAAAAAAACCAAAGAGGTATCTTCAGCAGAAACCTAAAACGAGCCAGGAAATTTCATTAACTTTCAATACCGTCATCTTGCTTTCAAGATTTGAGTTATGTTTGCTAAGCTTCTAACAATAAGATTTTGCACTTCCCCATTATGTGTTGTAGCTTATGTATGAATTGTTTTTCTATTTTTTTTTCACGAGGAAAATTTGCTGAAAAGAATATACTCTCTCTCCCTCAATTTTAGCTTGGAACCAAACATATTTGTACAAAACATAAGTAGATACTTACAATGTTTGTGAAGGCTGTCCCTTAGGCGTGAGAAATGAAATCCAGTAACGTCCAATGCTTTGCCCATTCACCCATGCTTCACCTTTCCCCATTGTGCTAAGGTTTAAAACTACTGGGTCACTCCCCATAGGTGCATCAAATTCAATCTGCAAAAACCATCAATTTTGGCAAACAGATAAATTTTAATTATCACCTATATTTGGTTAGGATTCTACTTCCACATCAAAGTTGTTCTATTTTTTAGTTAGAAGATGCCTGTGCACAAGGGAGCATACATTTTTCTGTTTAATCTATATCCATGTTTGCCACCTTAAGAAATCACAGCTAGTGGTGATCTCACTTGAGGCTTCAAAACAACAACAACAACAACCACCACCACCACCAAGCCATAATCCCTGACAAGTCGGGGCAGGCTATATGGATCCTTTTGTGCCATTCCACATGATCAAATACCAAATCTTCCTTGGTATCGATAGATTTTTAAATCCTCTTATATCACTTCCATCCACTTTAACTTAGGTCTCCTTCTTCCCTTTCCCCCAGTACCACTGACAACTTATCACTGGGGGCTTTGCTTTGCATTTAAAATGATCATACCAGCATGAATAACAGTTATGCATACACTGATGGAAAATTCATTGATATACCTTAAACCAAGTAAGTGGCTGATCAGTCTCTGAAACAACTTTGCTCCACTCAACGTTGCCCAAATTTTGTCTCATGTGTATGTTTAAGCTCTCTCCAAATAACCCTACCTGTGTATTAATTAATGCAGAGTAGATGACAGAAGCAAATATGTTACTTACATGTTTGTTCAGGCAAACTGGTTTGTTATACTTTAAGAATAAGGATCAAGTACCTGATATCCCCATTCATAATTATTGGTAAAATTATAAATATCTTGTTGAGCACATCTAATTTCCACTCTGGTTAAGCCAGCATATCTTCTCTCCAGAAAAGCTCCTGAATCCTTCATGGAAGCATGAACAACAAAATTTTGAGTTAACCATATAATCAAAGAAAAGGTAGCTTCACAGGATAGAGCAACCCGATACATGTGGGCCTATTTTGGATCTTAGTAACTTGGTTGGAATAATAGTGCTGAATCAAGTCACTTGTTGCCAAGGATGGAAAATGTCATGATAACTTTTCTTTCTTTCTTTCTTTCTTTCTTTTCTTTCTTTCTTTTTTCCAGAAAATTCTATATACATTTGTCCACTAAATGCCAAATTTGCTTCTGCTCCCAGAAAACTTATAGAAAATATTTAGGCAGCCTTCATCTTTATTTAGCTCCCCAAATAATAAATCTTAAATCCATTCCTTTCCAAAGCATTGGCCAAAGGCCAACTTGGGCATCCAGGATTCAACCGTGGAAGCATGATTTTTATCACGAAAAGGGAAAAAAAGAACTTAAAGAAGTAGGTTTCAAATATTTACCGGTAATCCAACCATATTGCTGAGTATAGAAATATTGTTCATCTCATCATTTAAGGCAATTGGTACTTCCATGGTGAAGGGACCCTTGGCATCCTTACTTCCATGTGCAGATCCTGAGAAGAATAATATAACATGGTGAGTGAGTAGAATTAAAACATAATAGTGTTTCTCAAATTCAGATCCCTCCACTATATTTTACTAAGACATAATATACCACCCGCTTCACAGTGCCTAAGGATCTAAATCAGTGTTTTTAAAGTTCAGAACTGTATCCAAGTTACTAAAATTCAGGGGTAAATGATTCTCCACTTCTCAATTTGTAGATAAGATGCAGGAATTTGCTATATTAATTAGTGGATATTGATGAACAGTAACATCAAAAAAATAATGGAAAGATATGATTCTAGCCAGCAAATACTGCACGCAAAGAAAATTTAAACAAATAATTTTACTGTTTTAGATACCAATATTCAAATTAGTGAAACTAAAAACTCATTGGGTGCAAGTTCCATTTAATGTTTTCTTTTTTAAAAAAGTTGAATTTTAATCAAGATGCTTAAGTTAAAAGTAAATTTTGACTGTCTTGAAAAAAAAAAAAATCAATAAAGGCAACCTGCATATTTGTTGTTGACAAAAGCAGATGCAACATGTGCAAGAGACTCCACATGAAGTACAGGTGCAGAACAAGATGAATTTGGTTGAAAGCTGTTACAGACAAAAAAACCTTTCAAGTCTATCAACAACTGAGAGTCAAGTTAACCAGGAAAAAAAAGAATGAGGAATAGATATTGTAAAACCATGTTATGAAGAAGATCAATGAGGTACCTAAAAGTATACCAAAGATAATCTGATTTATCTTTGGTTGTATTCATGTGCTCCAACGGTGTATCTGATTTAAGGTTAGTATCTGAGAAGTTAGGGATAACATCTTTATATGCTTCCCACCTATCAGCATCATCAAACAATTGACTTGACGTTCTGATTATCTCATTATTCTTTGCATTTGCCTGTCATGATTCATGTAAAATTAAGAACAATGAAGATCATACATGCAGCAGAACAAGAGAAAATTTATGGTAAAACATAAGTTGGTCCATGAGACTTGGAAGTCCAACAAGAGAAATGAGAGAATAATATGGTTGTTGACTTATGTACCTTTGCAGTGTTGAAGATTATATTTTCACAGTCAGGTAGAATACTAATTGACTTTGGGAGCAGCTCAAAGGTTGTATTTCTAAATTCGACAGTTGCATTATTTTTCTGGTCATTGTTTACAAGAAATGCAGCACAACCTCCTCCTTTTTCTTCAAAAATATAGGCCTGAATTGAAATAACTAAACAGTGTTTACAGCATGCTTTGATTTCATAGATTAATAAAGAAAAACAATTGAATCAGCATACAATATTCAGCAGTATTAGACATCACCTGTTGAAGTTGGCCCAATGAGAAATTAGATTGCACTCCCTCTAGTATTGTTGTAGAGCAAGACTTGATTGCAGCATGCAGCTCCTTAAGATGACCCCATTTTGGTTGTCTAATTAAACCTGGATTCATAAATAAATGGTGAATCAATATCACATCTGTGAATAAGTGTTCCGTATAAGGACTAAGGAGATGTTTACCATACCATATTCATCAAGAGGTGCTTGATCATAATATCCTGTTATGACATATGCCGATGCAGTTCTTCCAAAATTTGTTCCACCATGGAACTAGATTACAAGCGTAACGTTGTAAAAGTCAACAAGGAAATAGCTGAATAGAAGACTTTGAAGTATTTAGAGAGAAGGATCTACTCATATTGCAGTTCACAAAAATTCATTGATTATTTCATAACTGACCATTAGATTAAATTCTCTATAAATGTTTATTACAATCATTAGGTTTCAGGTTGCTTGAATGTTGATAAGTTTCCATTCTCATCATGCCAATTTCATTCATAATTTATTAAACAATCATTCAACTTTAAATAATCATCTGCAGGAAAACAAACTATCCTGTCATCTTTCAATTTACATAAAACACAGGAAAACCAATCAAATGCGATTCTGTAGAGAAAAACTTTGGCATATAACAGCGCTAAGGAGGTAACAGCTCTAAGGAGGTTTCAACAAATCATACCATGTAATAATTTATATAGCTTCCCTTTTTGGCAATAAAAAGGGTTACATGGAAGGCAATGTCTTCAGCAGATCGTATATATGGTTCTCCACCATACACTTGATAGCTTCATGAGGAAAAGAAAAAAAATCAAAAGTCGGCTCATTGACTAGTAGTTCACATATGAAAATTGGTCGATTGCAAAGAGTCATGCAATTAAAAGTTCACTTTATACTGACGCTACTTGTTTTTCCCTTTAAAATATGAATCAGTATATGCTAATATTACTTTTCCTTTTCACATTTTAATCACAGAAAGTCAGGATCAAAATAAAAAACTTACAATGATGTCCAATTCTCTGTCCAAAGTGAGGGCTTTGTTGGCGAATTAGGTCCTCCAAAAGTTTCTCCACATTTCATTCCATTGCATGTATTGATCTGCAAATTGGCATTTGACAAAAAACTATAAGGTTAGGAGGCCAATGTTATTTCTAGTTTTTTATTTTTCCTTTTTTCTGGACAACAGTGAGGTTGACCCTCCATCAGACTTCATAACAACAAAACTAAGCAATTTCAGCTTAATATATACCACTGGATCAGGAGCATCAGTTTGTTTGCACATCACCCACGGCACACCAGTCTGGAGCTCAACTGCCATTTTTGCTGCCCAAATGACGTATGAGGGCCCTTTGTCCCTAAAAGCTGCTTCAACATTTTGATATTCATTCTCAATCTATATATAATATCATACAAGTCTCAGATTTAGTTATGCATCATAGAATCAACAAAAGAACTTGTAAAAACCATAATCTAGGTTCATGATGATATCAGGTCTGTCTCTTTACCTGTGACAGTATTATCGGACCTCCTTTTGAAGCATATAAACCCTCTGACTTCATCATGTTCACTATTTTTGTGGTAAAATTTTGCATGTAAAACTACAAAAATACGTAATACAACTCATGAGATCACTTAAAGAAGTCACGGTATGTACTTATAAATCAAATAAACGCTATTTTTGTGCAATACATATAGTATACATATTTTAACACGAATCTCTTAAGTAGAAAATGACACAGAAGCAATGAGTTCATAAAGAAAGGGAGGAAGTATATATCTAATGTCATAAATGCATTCTCGTGAACTTTGAGTTTAGTGAGCCAGCTATCAAAGTCTAGATTGGTAAAATACATTGAATAAATTTACCAGAAAAGACCAAAAAACGTCGGTGAATGAGATAGACGAATGGCACCTAAGTACCGCAGTTTCACAGAATTTACGTAGTCAATGCCCAACACACACATGGAGAGGGAAAAAGCTTCATTACCTTGAAGGGTTCATTATCTGATCGATAAACAATGCCGGGGACATCATGCAACCAAAACGGGAACCCCCTGCAATTACATATGCAACAACTTTTAGTCTTCATTTAAATCAATGTGGATCTCAAATAACAATCTCAAGCAATTAAGCACCAAGCCGATGTTGACATAACCTACACATAACTAAGAAATATGCTTATTAATTTTTAAATAGCAATCTCCAGCAATTATAGTGCATCAAGCCAGTTCATCATAAATAACAAATACTACCAAAAAATAATAATTATTTATTAATCTTCCAGATATATTAAATCACAAAACTAGTATACTAGCATTTTGTTTAAGATAATAATTATAGCATTTTGTTTAAGATAATAATTATAGCCCTTGCACAAAAACCATCATCATTCACTGATCAATCTATCCAAATTTTGCCATTTTTTTCTCACATTTTTTTTCTATGTAACCAAACAGAAACTTGAATGAAACCCATAATTGTATACGTTCCCTAAAGCCAAAATTTAACGGAAGTCAAGCAAAGAAACAGGACTGTATACCTTGTCTTTGTTTGGTTGGAGGAAGAATAGTATCCGAGAACAAGAAAAAGTGGATATGAAATTTTACTTGGATTAGAAAATTCCCAAAGTTTGGGAATGCAATTCCAGGTAAAAACATTCTCCACCCAGAAAGAAGGGTCTTATACGCTATTCAACTTTGGGCAGAGAGTGGAAGAGGATAGGAAGGAAGTTGGAGGGAGATTTTAACAGGTTTACCATTCTTCTTCTTCTTCTTCTTCTTGTTTTTTTTTTTTTTTTTTTTTTTGAGAAAAAAAAAAACTCTGTGCTGGAGAGGGAGGGTCGACGGCACCAAATTAGTCTATTTTAGTCCCTATTTGTGTATAGATTATTCAATTACGCTCTTAACTAATTGTAAATTAACCACTTATAAATATTTATGAAATAATATAGGTAACCAAGAAAGAAATGTAGGTTTAATTCAACAAGGTCAATCTCTATTCTTTTAATTCCTCTTTTTTTTTTTTTTTTTTTTTTAAATGAGGGTTTTTTTTTAGTTGCTTTGTATTGTCTTAATATGTATATTAACAAGTTGTTGGTCCAATTATCATATATATATATATATATATATATAGTTGTAAAACTGTAAAAAAATATTATGCACGTACCCATAAGTCCATTCACTCTCGATGAAAGGTCCAATCCTAAGGCAGGCGTATAGTCCTTGTGCTTGGATTTCCTTTATGAATTTCACCAAGTCATTTCTCCCACCGAAATCATACTGTGCCAACACAACATTTTACATAATTTAGAGGGAGAAAACATTATGATAAAAATAAATTTCACATATCGTCAATGTTAAAAGAGAAAACATTTGGCCGAGCTTGTTGGAAAAATTACTATTTTTATGACAAAGTCGTGTTAAAATTTGCTTTTAATAGTAAATTCGCAACTAAAAGTGTTTAGAATTTATTGAAAAATAACATAATTATAATGATATGACATAAATTATTTGAAAATTGTTTAATATTTCAATATATAGGTTTATTTTTTAGCTTGTAATTGACAAATTCCTATATTGCGAGGAATATCAAAGTTATTTGCTTGTTGTGTGAGAATATTGATGATGGTCGTGATTGTTTGTTTTTTGAATATTTGTATTCTAAAATTACGTAAAATGCTATTTTTTTAATATGAATTTTATAAAGTAATTGATAATTGGATTATAGGGCTATAGAGCCATTTGCAAAAGATAAATTTTCAATTTGTTATTTTGAGATTGATGTGAAATGTAATCATTAATTTATAGTTAGGTGAAAACAAAAATAGAATATATGATAATAATGTTTCTTTATTGGATGATGTGACTAAATAAAGTTGCCATATTATTCATTACAAGTTATATAATTTTAAGCTTTTAATTAAAATATAGATTAACTGCTAATTTATTATATTTATATTCAATGAATATTATCTCAATCTAATTCATATATTTTTAATGGATGCGTGCTTTATAGCACGATAAGATTCTACTTTGTTTTTTTAATCGATGATAAAATTTTATTTATAAGCAAAATAAAAGGAAAAAATTACTATTTATATATGGCGACTTGGTGAGTTTATAAATATTACTAACCTCTCCAGGTTTTGGCTCGTGCGAATTCCAAAACACATATGTTTGAATCACATCAACTCCTCCTTCTTTGGCTTTTGCTATCAAAGAAGGCCACATCTGCCAAAATAAATAAATAAATAAATAATAATAATAATATCATTTATCCATTAAATCTATTTTCATGTGTATCATTAAGCAGTGGAGATCATATCTTATTACTTGGGACTAGCCGTTTCAGGACATTGGTTAGCTAAATAAAATAAAATTAAAAAAGTTAAATATACTACTAAGTTATTGGAGTAGTATCAGTTTTGCTTTTGAATTGTTTTTTTTTAATCAATTTTACTCTAAATTATTTTGATTTTTCAATTGGTGATTTCTTCTAGAATCATTTGACGAAAAAAATTAATTGTTTTTCTATAAAATGACGTTTCTTATAAAATAAAAAGATACAAGTGTTTAATTGAGAATTTTTTAAATTTGAGGGTAACATTGATAAAGAATTTGATTAGTATCAATTTTGCTTTTGAATTGGCTTTTGTGTCAATCTTACTCTAAACTATTTTGATTTCTCAATTTATGACGTCTATTAGAATCATTTGACAAAAAATACTAACTACCTTTTTTTTAGTAAAATAACATCGTTTTTTACAGAATAAAAAAGATAGAAGTCCTTAATTAAGAATTTCTGGAATTTGCGGGTAACATTGATAAAAAAAATTTGTTTGGTGGCAAAACTGAAACTATATATATAAGTTGGTGCTTTTTTTCGGTTTGCCCTTAAAAAAAAAAAGAAAAGAAATAACCAGCTAATAATGTGGTAAGCAGAAGAAGGATATGTGGCTTCGCAATTTACTTTTTTCATGCGTTGAACAACTACAATCACCATGCGGCTGGCATCTTCTATCCTATCCTATACTCAAACCCGTGATGCAACAGAAACAAACAATTATGGTAAAACTGTCCTCATTGACGATGATGCACTTTACAGAGGAAAGTAGCATGTTCTGTTGGTTGAAAAGGAGAAACAAATGCATATAATGTTCATTCTTGTGCCTACTCATATTCAACAGCCGATGAGACATGACCTACCTACCAGAAGGAGAATGAGAATTGCATTATCCTATATACCACACACACACATTAAAACAAAAAACAAACTGATGATCACTCTTATTTTTACATAAACCAAGTCTTTTTTACTATGTTGCTTGGACAGTGCGTGCCTGACATGTAGAGATGACAACTGTTCAGGATATATTTTGTGTATCATCTCCATCCTAAATGGGATGAGGATGGAGCAAGGTCCCGTCAGATTGTCATTTCTAAAGATAAAAAGATGAGATAGGATGTGGTTGTTTTTGCCCCGTGCCTTGTTCGGAGCATATTTCATATACCATCTTTACCCTAAATGCGGCAAGGCGAGGCCTCATCGGAGTGGGTTAGATTATCATCTTTACTAACATGTATACACATGCTGAATTAGGCTATTTTTTTAAAAAAATTTATACATTTCTATGTATTTAGAGTGTCCATAGTTGAATATAATTTACTTTAAGGTAAAGTAAAGAGTCGAAATAGCCTTTTTATACATGCTTTCTTATTCTTATTAATATTATTTTGCCTTCCAACTTCTAAGCAAGGGGTAGTAGAAGGTGGAGATTATGGGAGAATAGCTGAAGCCTTAATGCACTTCCTTCTAATTAACAAATGTATGCTTGCAATGTGATGACAAAGAACTAGTTAAGAATGCATAAAATGAAGCATGTATAGTTGAAAGGCAAAGCATATATATATAGCAGCAGTTTGTAGTGAATGCACTTGGTTTACCTCAGGAGTGCTGCGAGGATAGTGAATTGAACCGGAAAACAGAAGTTTCCTTTGGCCGTCAATGATAAGAGATCTTCCATCATATGTGACATCTCCTCCTCTAACACCAACATCTTTGATTATAGACGACACAACCAAGACAACCCAACATAGCCACCACCCCATATTCACAGAAACCTTCTCTCTCTCCCCCAAAAGTTAAAAAGTACTCCAAAATGATTGTATTTTTAAAAAGAGAATTAGTACTTGATGATGGGTTGGTGAATTGGGCTCATGTCCTGTAGGAAAGAGTGCTAACTTGCCTATATATATATATAGTCCTTGAAAGTATTAGTTGGCACACAACATTAAGATCGAGTATAAATAATTGCGGTGCTTTAAGCTTGGATAATATTCTGTAGGGCATAATGGTAACTGAAAGTCCCAAAAATTTCCATCACAGTTGTTGAGTGATGTGGTTAGAAGTAAATGTTCTTGTGGATGGTATTGTAGAAGAGAAAATCCATAATTGCCGTTTACGTCACGGAGGCGTTATTGCGGGTTTAAGATTCGTTAAACGTGAAAACGAAGAGCGGAGGCTAGAGAATGAGGTTCAAAATCAATGTTCGTCCCTCTATTTTATCTATTTGGCATTTCTACACCCTACCTAAAAATGGCTATAGCTGATCCCTCTACAATTAATTTGGGGAGATTTTAAACCCACTATGCTTCTTCCGTTATAAGTGGTCAAATTAAATCGGCAAGTCCTCAAGCATGATAGAAACCAGCTCAACATATTAATCATTATGTCTCCATATATTATTTTTTTGATCATCCAATATATTCCAAATCTAAAAATAAGGATTAATTCTTTACTTGTTTTATCAGACGCATAAAGTGAAAATAATTTTTATAAAACTTTTTTACATATATAAAGACTCGAATTTCAAACTATTTACTTAAATAACTAGAGATTTTTTTACTCAAATCAAACCTCTTGGATTATATTATTAATAATTTAATATATCAACTTGCCATATCGAAATATATGATAATATGACTAAATACATATTAATTTGTTGATTGCTTTATTCATAGAGTTATCGAATATGGACTTAGACCTATAGATACAATAACAATGAGGACATACGACATGTAATCGTGTCCAACCAAATACAAATTTAAAGAAAATAATAATTTATTTTGAATTTTATTAATAAAATGAATAGAAGTAGTAGATGAATAATTAAGATCATATTAAAAGAGGAAAAACCAAAACAATTAATGTTTGGAAAATTAATTAAAAGAATAATGAAAAATTAGAATAAGCAACTTTCACTTCCATCCAATTTTAGCCGAAACGCGGTTGAATCTTAATTTTTTTTTTTTTTAACATGTTGGATCTATAAATTTGCAAAACCACAAATCTCCCAAACATTGTTTGGAAACACAAATCAGCATCAACCAAGACCATTGGTTTGTTGCTTACCTTCCTTGTCAACATTAAATATAATTGTTGCTTGCCCCACTTGTCTTTAGCCAAATATCCAAGAAGAAGATCCAAAAGAAAGTCCAAAAGCGCTGCGCGGCAACAAGATAAGCATGTCAAAATGAAAACATGCGGGGATCATCATTATGGCATTTTATTTTCTCAAATTGAGCAATTTTATATTTTATGAATTATATACTTAGAATGGCATGCGATAAATATTTTAAAAATTATGGACAATTTATTTTTATGAGTATACGATAATCTATATATTAATGAAAATTCATTCTTAAAATATATCCTTAATTTTTTCTTTTCATCCAGTAATTTCTTATAATAATTTTTTTTTTTTGAGTGTCATGCATTAACATCTTCTTGAATATTTAGTATTTCATTCAAAAATTGGAGAAAAGGGAAATGTAGAAATCATTAGTTAATATGGAAGGTAAAATTGAAACTAACTAATTAACATGCATATCTGTTGTTGAAAAGTGCAATGGAATATTGGGACCATATGAGGTTATCCAAAAAGGAATTAAAAATTAACATTTGATGAAAATGTTCAATTGCAAGTAGCCTTGCAATAATTTTTTTCTTTTTAAAAAAATCTCTTCATATATGCAATATTTTATATGAATGATAAAACATGATCCGTTAATCACAGAAATTCAGGATATAAATAAAACTCACAATGATGTCCCATTCTTCAAATTATATTGATGGTTTTGTTGGCGAGTTAGACCATCTAAAAGTCTCTCCACATCTCGTTACGTTGCATGTAGTATTTATCTTCAAATTGGAATTTGACAAAGAACTACTACTATTATTAGATTAGAAGAGAAAAAAACCGGGTGTGATTTCAGCTTTATACCACAGGGTGAGGACCATCAATTTGCTGGCACATCACCCATGGAAAGCCAGTCCAAAGCTCAACTACCATTTTGTCTATTTTGGTAGCCCTACGGTGAAAACGTGAACAATCTTCACATGTTATTTGCTTGCAAATGAAAAAAATATATGTAGACAATGAATTAGAATCCCTAAATATTAGAGTCATTAATAATTCTATACGTGATATGATTTACTTTTCAAATATATAGAGTTAATATCCATATATATAAAGATCTAATCAAGAAAAATATTTTAATAATAGTTGCAAATGTTCTAATGTAATATTTTCATCTTTACTCCCCTCAAGTTAGAGCATGGAGATTGAAAATGCATAATTAACTTGTCCAACAACGACAAAAATCGATCCCGGTCGAGAGTTTTGGTGAATATATCATCCAAATGATATTGAAAAGAAATGAGTCGTGACAATAGAAGCTTGGACTGAATATCCGGTTAAACAAAATGATAATCAATCTTAATATGCTTTATTTGCTTGTTGAAGATAGGACTAGGGGGATGTAAAGCGTTGCTTGATTGTCACAAAATAAAGAAACGATAGCGAGGATGAGAGTAGGGATGAGCATTATTCAATTAAAATCGAAAAGCCGAACCGAATCGAATTAGCAATTTCGGTTTGGTTTTTTCAAAAATTTTGGAAAAAAAAAACCAAAACCGAAAATCAAAATTATTTCGATTCAATTCTTTTTTTTAAAAAAAAAATCGGTTTCTACAAAAAATCAAATTACTTTTTTTTTACACACACACCCAAAGACTTCTTGCAGAAAACCATTACCACTGGGTTACAAGCTCTTTGGTATATAATTTAATTGATATGTTTTTATATTTCATATCAATTTTTAATTCTTATAAATTTGTGATCCCCACATATTTTAAATTATTTCTTTTTAAATAAAGATCTTCTTGACTCCTAATTAGTGACGAGTGAGGAGTTTTTTTAGAGAAACAAAAGATATTTAAATGAGATATTTCTCTATAAATAAAATGATAGAATTTTTTATTAGAGATAAAAGAACTAAAACTATGAACTTCCATTAAATATGCATAAAAGTTTAAAAATTGCATCTCCAATCTCCGACCTATGTGTTTCACCATTGCATCTAATGATGAGAGAATTCAAATATATATATTAATGGAAATTCAAACAAACCCTTGGATAAATTTGTGAGGTTAGCGTTGATCAAACTAACATGAATGAGACATAATGCTAAAACTAGAGCAAATTATAAATCACTCTTTCTAGTTTTTAAAAAAACATAATTAATTTTTTTGTTTTAAAAATTATTTAGTTTTTTTTCATTTTATGTTCTTATCAACTTTTTTTTTAAAAAAAATTAATGGTTAAAAAAAATTAAATGGATATTTAGGAATATCAATGAAAAAAAGAAAATTTTTTAAATAAATTAAATAAAATATGGTCAATACTAATAAAAAAATAAATTTGCTAAAATATCAATATTTTTTATGTAATTAAAAAAATTATAAAAAAGTAGCCTTTCCGAACTTGGTCCAAGAGAAGATTCAAAATTCATAAGAAAAAAATAAAAAAACAAAAAAAATCGATATTTAATTGAAAACCAAAAAATCGAATTGAAAATTTTGGTTTTTTAATTGAAAAACCGAACCTCAATTTGGTTCGATTTTAGTTTTTATTTTAGTCAATTCGATTAACAAAAAAAAAAAAAACCGAACCAAAAAATCGAATGATCACCCCTAGATGAGAGATGCCTAAATTAGAGATGAAACGATGAAGCCAAACAATCTCTCTAGCAATTATGGCATGACCCTATATTCGACTTCGGTCGTGGAACAAGAAACCCCAAATTGCTTATTAGACCATCAAGAAATTGGTGAGGAACCAAAAAAGATAATATAGCCGATTGTAGAGCGACGAGTAAGTGCATAATTAGCCTAATCGGCATCATAATAACCTCGTAGGGTCAAAGAACTATTGAAAGGGAAAAACAATACCTTGGCTAGAAGCACATTTGAGATAACGAAGGACTCGGATAGCAAAATCATAATGAGGTTATCTTGATTGATGCATGAATTGATCGAAAATATGAATGACATAACTAATGTTAAGACGTGTGATGGTGAGATAAAGTAAACGTCCAACAAGACAATGACATTGATTAGGATCCTCATAAATAATATCGATGTCAATATCGAACTTATGTTGTTGATCCATAGGCAAGGCTGATGCTTTACATCCAGTGAGGCCATACTCGACCAATATGTCGGGAACATACTTTTGTTGACTCAAAATAATACCGGTAGGAGATTGTGCAATTTCAAGACCTAAATAGTATTTGATTTTACCAAGGTCTTTAATATAAAATGTGGAATCCAAATACTATTTGAATTAAGAAATTTTGGCAAAATCATTATACCGTGATGATCACATCATCAACATAAATAAGAATAGCAACAAAAAAAATCATGTTAAGAAGAAGTAAACAAAGAATGATTGGAAGGTGACTGGACAAACCCCACTAAAATCAATGAGTGAGTGAATTTTTTATAGCAATTATAAAAAGCTTGAAGAAGCTTATAAAGAGATTTGTAGAGATGACAAACAAGGTGCTTTCCCTTTTTAGCAAAACCACGAGGGCTTTTCATGTATACTTCTTTTGGAAGATCACCATGTAGGAAAACATTATTGACATCTAGCTAATGGAGTTCCCATTTACGAATAGAGACAATGGAAAGAAGATAATGGACTATGATCAACTTAGCTACTAGGGAAAATATCTTATGAAAACCAATGCCTTCAACTTGAGTATATCTTTTTGCCATAAGATGAGCTCGTATCATTCCGCAAATCCATCCGGGTTAAACTTAACTTTGTAGACACATTTTGAATCAAAAATATATTTTCCGGATGGTAAAGGTATAAATATTCATGTGTGATTGGCTTCTAAAGCAGAAATTTCTTTAGCTATAGAATCACACCGCTATATATGTGTCACATCCGAAGAAAAAGATATAGGCTCATCGATGGAAGAGATGGCAACTAGAAAAGCATTATGAGTGTTAGAAAATTTAGAATATGAAATATTATGAGATAAAAGATGTATCATTGAGTTAGCTGAATGGATAAGAGAGTGTAAAGTGATTGAGGCAGGAAAGAAGATGGTAAAGTGTAGTGAAAACTAAATAGATGTTTAGACACGGATCTTGAAAGATCATGCATTCCGTAAAGACGCAAAACAAAAAAAAAATTCCTCCATCGAGGGTTCCTAAGACCATACCGTTGAATCAACTAATCATAAACATAAATCAAATTAAAGTGAGTCATTTACCTCTTGTAGTGTAGAAATAATTTAAGTGAAAAGAAAACTATTTAAGCTGTCTAGCATCTATTGATTATCCACACGACTCAAACGCTCACACAAGACGCAATAGAAATCCTAGAGTGCTAGCTCCAATCCTTCTATGTAGTTAGTTTTTCTTTAGAAATCCTATAAGGTAATTTATGCCAACTTTTGACTTTTAGGAAGAGATGCGACAACTTTTGATTTAAAAGAGAAAAATATTTTTTCTCTTTGTTTTTTTCTTATTTCGTGTGGTTTTTTTTTTTTTTGGCTCTTTTATTCTCTCCTTTCTCATCCCTCCTATATATAGGGGTAATAACTTCTCTTTGTAGGTCAAAGAGATGTTGCTTATGTGGGTTTTGTATAACCTTAGCCTTATAAACCCCGAGCCTTATCCAATAGTGCTCAAGTTTATCCTTCTACTAAAATATCTTCTAGGCTTTTAAATTAAATCTATTAGCCCAAACTCTTTTAGCTCAATCAATTACCAGCTAATTTGGACCATCCAAATAAATTGGGTTAGATATTTTTAGAAGGCCAACATTAGAAAATAATTTTCCAAATTGCCCTTAAATTCAAATTAGAAAACTAATTTTCTTTTCGGATAATCTGTCTTCTAAATTTGAAACCGACTTCCAAAACTCGATTTCTAAAATATGAAACTTTCATTTTAGGAAACTTTTTTCAAAATAAGAACTTTCTAAAACAAGAAACTTTCCAAAACAAGAAACCTTTTCCAAAATATTTGCTTCTCTTTTATCATGTGAATATTTAAACTTATGTGTGTGACTCAATAAGGCATTAGATTTGTTAACAATGTATCGAAGATAAAAAAACATCTTTTATCTCTTGATACATAAATCAAGATTGACTTCTAGTAAGGCATCATGACTACTCAATTCTCTAAAAGAATTAATTAATTCATAGTTACCTTTTACGAGAATGATTTTCATATAATTCGATCCTTATGTCAATTTATCACGAGTGTGATCTCGAACTTGGCTCATAGTCCGTTCGATTATGATGACACTATTTTTCTTCGATCCCAAATGTCTTAGCTTTAAATTAAACCAATATGCTCTATTGGTATACTCCCAACGTGGCTATAAAATTTCTTGACCGGACATTCATCAAAGTGCAATATGATAACTCTTTTAGCATATAAGAAATGACATATCTTATTTTAGTCATCAACTTATCTCTATTAGATTCTTAATATACCCAAAGAATCGCTCACATGTAGCTCTTTATTTAGCCCATCAAAACGAATGTCAAAGTACACCAATCCTTTAATGAGACAATCGTGATGACTTCAAATCAAAGAATTAGTTATAGTTATCTTGTGTGAGATTCTCATAGACTAAACCAAATGGGTTCTTATAACGAGTCACATCCAGGTGATATATGTTCTCTAGCATTATTCACTCGAGTGTTTTCTTTGGCATCACCATACAAATAGGTGTGAGATCTCTTATAGCAAGAGCATAAAACTCACAAGTCTTATCATATGTTATCAATTTTCAATCTTCAAAATGCTACGACTTGAGATATTTAATAATATCATTTAAATGCATGAATGTTTATCTCATATCATTGATCAAACATTAATGCAATGCATATCATATGAACTTTTGTCTAATTTTATCAAATTATAAATAACAAAAATTAATAGAAAGACTTCTTTTATTAATATAAAAAAGCAATATTACAATAC